AGTTTAGAGCATCTTTTGTCAATAGACTTTGATATTTGTTGTCTGATTTCTTTAATATTTTCTATATTTTGGGCATGGAAAAGTTTTTTCCACTCTAAATTAGCATTGGTGATCCAGGTAGTAAGGAGTTGATATGAGGATGGTAGAGGAGGAATATTCAAGTTGGCCGAATCGTTAAATAATGTAATAGAAGGATTAAGGTGAAAAGAAATAGAAAGTGAATGCTTAAATGCATGTTTTGTTTGTCTAATGATATTGCTAAGTTTCTTGAAATTAGAATGTAAGTGGGTAGCTTTGGAAGAAAATGTGTGTTGAAAATTTCGGACTGTAAATTTTTTGTTGAGAATGTGTTGTAAAGCTACTGTAATAGTACTAGTATGAATTTTGTGCCAGGTAGTCTCTAAAGATTCTTTAGTATCGGTTGAGGATGGAGTATGATGAGAAAGGAGGTTGGCATTTATTTGGTTAGTGAAGTCATCCCATTTGGAGTTGCTCATTATTTTGTAGTTGAAGACTCTTCTACGTGTATGAGTTTTGTGTCTACGTTGGCTGTGTAGAGCATGAGGAAAGGACCAACGAGCAATGAGGATTTTATGATCACTAAGGGAGCTGTTATCTGTATCCTCGATGTTGAAAGAAGTAAGATAGGTTAGAATAGTGTGGTAGGCCCAGATGAAGTCGATTTCACTACTAAATTTGGCATTTTGCCAGGTAGGGGAAGAGGAAGAGGTATGTAAAGCAAGATTGTACATATTGTTGTAAGAGAGAAATTGGAGAAGTTTGTATTTAATAAATGCAGAGTGAATATTGTTGGTTAAGGCATTAAAGTCTCCAAGTACAATAAGAAGCAAGTTGAGAGTATAGGCATCTTATATCCATTGGATAATAGTATTTTGAGCTTGAAGTCTGATAGAGGCATCATTGCAAGGAAGATAGGTCGAAATAATACAGAATTTGAAATTATGTTTAAAGAACAGGTCGATAAAGATAGCATAGCTGGGGAAGGTAGCTATGTTATGTATATGGGGTGTTAGTGAGTTACATATCATAATTGTAGTACCAGCTTTGAAGTTTTAATACAGGACCAGAAGTAAGTATAATGAGGGGTTATAAGACGTTTTGAGGTAAAGTTGTTGCTAGCTAGTTTGGTTTCAGTGAGGCAAATAATATCCAATTTGTTAGATAAACAGTAGTATTCCCATATTTGTTGTTTAAGGTTTTGGTTGAAGCCTCAAATATTATAAGTGCATATAGAAAGGTTTAGTGGAGAGTAAGAGGTATTAGATAGATCAGTATGGGGTCCAGGAGGTGTGGGTAAGGAAGAATGTTGTGTATGAGATTTTAGAGGAGTGTGGGGATTTGCGAAGATGGCACTTTGGTAAGATACAATTAGGTGGTCAGAAAGGGGACAAGATTCTTGTGGGGTGTAGATATGAGCTTCACTATAATCATCTTTGATAGAAATTATGAGTTCATTCTGTAAATTGTTCCAAAGGCTATGTTTGATGAGATAAAGAAGAAAAGAATTGATTGTTTGAGGGGATGGAAGAAGTGGGAGTTGGTAATGTTTGAGGAATTTGTTAAAGCAGGTTGAAGTGTCACAGGAGTCTAAAGATATTGAAAGTGACATCTTAGATTTGTCTTTTACAAGAGCACTCACTATATACCTGGCACTCACAGTTCTGCAAGAAATAGCAGTGCTCAGGTTGTGCATTAGAGAACTGTGTGTATCTATCTCTTCTGGGTAATTTCTGTACTACTATTAAAATAGTAATTTTTCATTTATACTATATTATTAATTTTCATAATTTGAAATACTAAATTTTAACTATTCATGTTTAAAATTTTGAAATATATCTAAAAAAAACTGGCAACTCTAACTTATTATTAAATAGGCTAGATAATTTCTATTTTGCTGTTTTATTATCTGCATGGTGAATTTCATGACCTGCAAAAGTAAAACTTGCTCTACTATCTTCATACAATTCCTCACTATCTTCAAAATTGTTTTTATTTTCTACTAACTAAAGCTATTTATTAATTAAATCTTGATATTGCCATTCATTATTAATTAAATCATCTTCGATCTTATTATTCTTAGATTTAAATTTTTCTGAATCTGAAATTGTTATTAAATTATTATTTTCATTACTATCTAAATTTTTAGAATTGTATAATATTGGAGTAGCTATATTTTTCTGTTTAACTATTTTTTATTTATATTAGCTTTATAAACTTTTTACTTTTGAAGAATATTACTACAAAATTAAAACATAGCTAATACTTTTTCATGTTTTAAAACATATAATTAGTTTTTAATATTTAATAAAGATTATAAATTTAATATAATTAATTACCTTTATTTGAATTCTTTTTTCTATATGTAAATTACTTATACAAGACCAAAGCCATTCCACAGATGCAGAAGTAATACAAATTAAATATAAGCAGATTGCAAATCTTGATAATTCAGGTGCTTTTCCAGATACACAATCCCAAAGGTCTAATATATTTCTCTAAAATTGAGACTAGTTGTTATGATTAAAAGGTAAGTCTTGTTGTTTATAAAAAGTCAATTCGGGTAAAATTGAGGTTGGACATATTTGGAATCATGCTTAATAGTAAAAATTTATCTATAGTCTCCAATTTGTTTATGTTAATTAATATTAAACTTTAATAGCATATAATTGAAATACAAATCCACAAAAAAGAAGTAATAATAGCTGCTCCTACTAACTCTACTATTTTTCTAAGTAATTTATCATTTTAAGTTCAAAGTCAATTTCTTTGTAATTATTAAAAATCTTTACAATATATCCAAAGTAATATTCAACTTCATAAAGTCTTGCTTTGTCTTTTTGAAGTTTGTTAAGCATTTTATAAAATGGTAATAATAATATTTCTAATTCATATAAAATTATCTAAAAAGAATTATTATTAATGATATTAATTATATCTTATAATAAAAATTTGTCTTTATTTAGTCTTTGTGAACTTGCAATTTATAAAGAAGCAAATTTTGCTACTAAAGTTTAAAATAATAAAAGTTAATTTAAAATACTATAAATGTAGAAACTAATAATAAATATTTAATATTTTAATACAGCTTCTATTTTTAATATATTATAAAAACAAAAATAATAACTATTATATCTCGTATTACTAGAACTTAAAAGTGCAATTAAGTTGCTATAAATTATATATTGTTTATTTTGTAATTGTTTTATAAAATTTCCATTTACAATCTCTTTCACCCCCTATGAACCTTTTACCTGCTTTAATAAATTCCTTTTATCACAAAACCATCCACCTATTTCATCACCCCAAACACTTAACTCCTTCTTCTTACATCTACTAACAAATGGTCTGTGGAGTAACCTCCAAGACAA